TGTGAGGAGCTCTTAGGACTTATGCTCTTAAATTTCCTATCATACAGCAGTATTAACTGTAGTCGCCCTGTTGTACATTATATCCCTAGTCCTCGTTTGTCTTATAACTGGAAGATTGAACCTTTGACTACCTTCATCCAATTACCCCTCCGTCCACCCTTGCCTCTGATAACCTCCAATCTGATCTTTTTTACATGAGTTTGGTTGGTTTTTTTTGCGAGGTTTTTAGATTCCACATATAAATGAGATCATACAGTATTTGTCTTTCTCTGCCTGGCTTATTTCACTTAGCATAATACCCTCAAGGTTCATCTATGCTGTCACAAATGGCAGAATTTCTATCTTTTTTATGGCTGAATAATATTCCATCGTATATATACACCATATCTTTATCCCTTCATCTGTTGATGGACATCCTCTTTTTTTAATGATATTTATTCAGTTTTAGAGGGAAGTCTAGAGCAGCATAAAGAAGAAAATAAATCCACTGTATAACTGAAGGCAGTAGAACATAGTAGGTTAGAGGGCAGACTCTAAAGCCAGGCTCCCTTGAGTTGAATCCTGGCTTAATTTCTTCCTATTTTTGTCACCTTGGGCAGGTTGTTTAACCTATCTAGCAATAGTTTCCTTACTTTTAGGATTATGAGGTCATTAAATGAAATAATAGATGTAAAACACTCAGAATGGTTCCTCACCTGTCTTAAGTACACAGTACTCAATAAATTTTAACTATTAATGTAGGCTACCCCTCTCTCAACTTCAGTAGCCATGAACCTTTGAGACTCTCAGATAAACTATAAGATCAAGTCCAGCAAGACTTGGAAAATCTTAATTTAAGTGAGATCAACTAATGGAAAGATGAAACAGTCTTAAGACAAACAATGGGTGGGTTCCTTTTTACTGTGAATAAAATATTGCTTAGTCCTACAGCAGTTACCGACTCTAGACCACACTTAGGAGGGGACCTGCAAGTACGTCTCATTTTCCTATTAAAGCCGTGTAATAAACCAACTTGAGATAACCACTGTGAATGTTTTGATGGTTCCTTCCAATCTTTCATCTTATATTTTTTACATTATTGAGATAGTTTATGTAACTGTATATTGTTTTTTAGTTAACACAGCACATATTTTCTGTGTCTTAAAAAATTTAGTAAATAATTTATCATTTCAATGTATCATTTAATTTTATAATATTGCCCATTTTCTTTCCACTTTTCCCTTATTATATGTAATGTTGCAGTTAACATCTTTATGCATAGAGCTTTATTCAATTCATATCTCTACTTCCTCAGAAAAGATTCCTAAAAGAATTTCTGAGTCAACAAATACAAACATTTTCAAAGTTCTTGATACATATGGCTTAATTGTAATTGCTCAGTTTTGTATGAGCATGACTATTTATTTCAACAGCACTGGGTATTCTTTTGGTCTTTAGTTTTTAATTTTTTTTTTCAATTTGACAGGCCAAAAAAACCTGAACCTGGTATCTCAAGTTGGTGCCTTTTTAAAGTTTCAAAGCGAGTATCTTTTTTTGTTGTTAGTTTTGTAATGAGTATCTTTCAAACTATCTCAGAAAAGACATGGGTAGAAGCTGCCTGTTGCACTCAGATGTCTATATTGAAAGGTGACATGTTCAAATTTAACTGGAATAATCAGCATAACAGGAATAAGAGTAAGTATAACCAGTAACATTGATTTCTTAATAGTAGTTTTTGCTCTGTGGTGGTTTCAGATTGAGAAACTGGATGCCCGAGGGATCCAGCTTGCTGCCCTCTTCATGAGCGGGGTTGATACAGCTCTGTTTGCTAATGATGCCTGTGGCCAGCCAGTCCCTTGGGAGCACTGCTGCCCCTGGATTTACTTCGATGGCAAGCTGTTCCAGAGCAAGCTAATTAAAGCAGGCCGAGAGCGAGTATCCCTGATTGAGCTCTGTGATGGCCAGGTACCAGTATATTGGGTAGCTGTTAAGAGTGATCTCTGATCTGCTGTGGGAATGAATGGGCAGGGAGGGGAACACAGCAGAGACACTGGGGAGGGAGGCAGCAGAAGTGGGAGAATGTGGCTGACCTTGACCTAATTTGGTCAGTGATAGTCCCAAAGGCCCAGAGTCTGATATGTACATGTTATAAAATCATATGTTGGAAAACTTTTTTAAAATGAGCTTCATGTTTTCATACGCCTTTTTTTACTCTGAGTATTTCTTCCCCATGGAATACCCAGATATCCTATATGTCTTTCATCCAATTCTTAGAATTTCATCTCCCTTATTTAAAAAAAAACTCTAAGTCACTTTTGCAAGTGATAATATTTTTTGGAAATAGAAGAAGATAGTGAAGTAGATAACTAAGAAGCAGGGGATTTTTTTAATTTTTATTTTTTGCAATGAAACCTTGAGAAAGATGAAGGAAGGCAAGGGAAAGGTACCTTTACTTACTCCTTTATCCATTTGCAAAGAATGAGCTGAGGGACTAGAACAGGGTTGGCAAACTACCCAAAATCCCAAAATTTGGAATTTTCCCATAAAGGTGTGTTTTGGAACACAGTTGCATTCATTCATTTATAGCAGAATAGTTGTAACAGAGACCATATGACCCACAAAGCCTAAAATATTTACTATCTGCCCTTTTCAGGAAAAATTTCCATCCTCTGAACTAGAGGCAGAGACCTTGCCTGGACCGATCAGGGTCTCTGATCCCCGGGTATGGGGGAGAAAGTTGAAAGTCTTTGTATATTTTAGGATTTTGTACTCCTCTCTTTTACCTAATTCTGATACCTCCCTATTAAAAAATGATCCAGCCTATTGCTGGCCATGTAATAGACTATCAATAAATATTCATTGTTATATTTGTCTTCCTTGACCTAGTCAGTGTGCCTTACAAGCCCTCAGTCAGAACTAGTGTGATGGCAGTGTGATATCATACAAAGAGTCGGGGCTTTGGTGCCAGACAGGCTTTCCTGAGTGTGTCACCTTGGCCATTTAACTCCAGGCCTCACTTCTCTTAATGAGACTAGATTTGTGAGACTGTATGTAGAGTGCCCAAAAAATACTGTGCCTGAAACATAGGAGAAGTTAAAAAATGGCAGCTGCTATTCTTACTCTGTTCCTCATTTGAAGGCTGACCTGGCAACCAAAGTGGAAAGGATGAGACAGAGTATTCTCGAAGGAGTCAACATGAACCATCCACCGCCTTCTGCTCTACTTCCATCACCTACTTTTGTGCCTCCCATGGTGCCCTCTCTCTACCCTGTTTCACTTTATTCCCGAGCCATGGGCTCAATGCCACCTCCCACTCAAGGAAGGAGCCGGGGCTTTGCAGGTTAGTACCTAAGAATGAGGTATTTGTCATCCTCACTCTATTACATAATAACCCATTTGGTAATTATTGCCAGTCACAGAATCACCTGTTTCACATATATTTTTCTTATTTACCTTCTGTCTTGTGTTGTGGTTGTTTGAAGAGGATCTTATTGAGATAGAGGATTGTAGCCTGGGGAAGAAAGTCCACTGACTTCCCAGACTGCTCTCCATAGAGGTGGTTGGTCCCTAAGGATTTGACTCTCACCAAACTCCTAAAGTAAGTGATGCAGAAACCAGGAGCCATTTGATTACTTTTGAGAACTGTAACTCATGGGAACTGGATCTTCATGGTTGCTGGTTAGATCACTCAGTACCCGTAGGCAGATGTACAAAGGAGCATGCAGGAAGAACAGTGGGAGGTAAGAGTAAATGACCAGTGTCGACAGACTATCATAGCCTGATGTACCCATTTCCACTCTGGGGGTAGATCTGACACATTTCCAGAAACAGAGAGAAATAATCCACAAATCATGCCCTCCAGCAATTGCAGTTTAGTAGGGAAAACAAATAAACACACACATAAACATATGTATAATTTTTAAATTATGGTTGCACCTGGGCTGCGGCTTAATGGTGAATAGACAGTCATGCTTAGGTAGCTCAGATACTGCTCCAGATAATATAAACAACCTGTTTCCCAGTGAGACAAGATCTTTTAACAGGGACATTTTAACATGAAATATCAAGATTCTGTGATCAGATAGGAGTGTCATTGCTATGGTTGCAGGTGTTTGGTGTCTATTGCTCATCACTTTAAAAATAAAGCTGGAAGTTGAAATTTTTGTTACATTTAGGGTCACATAGTTCAGTATAGATGTTTAGCTCAAGACTTTGTTTAGATGAGTAGTGTGATGTCTGCTCTGATAATTCCCTGTTCAGTCAGGTAATGATCAAGTCTTACAAACCAGGGAGCCAGCCATTCATTTCTTCTCTTGAAGGTAACTTTATGAATCTCTACTCTCATTCTTTGCTTGTTGATTTTATTGTTTCTCAGAAACAGACTTAATTAACGCCAGGTTCTCAGGAGGTCCTCAGCATTGCTCCAGCTTCCAGTGATGCTTAGTCTCCAGTTACTAGTTGTTCATGAGGAGCCTCTTGCCTTCTGAAAGACTACAAGATACCCAAATGCAAGTTTTTCTTGCCCTCTTAGGACTAGCTAACACCCTAGTTCCTTAGATTCTCACTTTTATATAAACAAAGGGCGTTTTACTAATGACCTGCCAAATGAGCAAAGGGTTATTAACATTTGAGTTTTCTCCATAAACTAAAGTTAAAAGTTTACTAGGACTCTGTATGCTATGAAGGCTTCCTTTTGTGCCAAATTACAAAGCTCTACTGTGCCTGTGAGCTCATATACATAGAGTTGGAATTTCCAGTTTTAAGGAGATATCATGCTATCTTCTCTTGAGTTTATTCTGGTTTTCAACTGTTGCTATTTTTACTTTTTAATGATAAATACTGTTAGTTTCATTATTTTCAGTTTCATTTGGTTGTTTGGCTAATCCTCCAGCGTGTAGTGATATGTATTTAAATCAAAAGTGGTTTTGGCCCATAATTTCTAATAATTAGATTTTAAGACATTCATTCTCTCAACAAATATTGAATGCTTACTATGTGCCAGGCTCTGCAGTTGAAAAATGAATTGTCCACACCCCACTTGCTAAAGTGAGTATGTACAAGTCTTCAAGCCCGTCCCTAAATTTGCTTCCCTCATGACCCTTTGTTGTTATCATAGAGTCTTAATCATAGAGAAATGGAAATAAGCAGAATAGGTAGGCTGTAGGATCTTTTGTCCCACCTCTTTTTCTACTTTGTACTTACCACTCATGACTGCCATTCTTCTTCTCTTTTCAGGTCTCCATCCAATCCCACCCCAGGGAGGAAAACTGGAGATTGCTGGGATGGTTGTTGGCCAGTGGGCTGGCAGCAGATCATCTAGGGGTCGAGGCTCCTTTGGCATGCAAGTGGTTTCTGTCGGTGGGCCAGGAAAGGGGTATGTATTCATATAGGTTGGTATGAACTATGTCAGTCAAGGTGCCCTTGGGAAAATGCCCAGCTATCGAATCCTTCTATTAAGGTAAGAGGCATTAACTGACTTTCTATTCTCAAAGCCAGTGTTCAGTTTAGTTCAGGAAACATATACTAAATGCCCTGCCTCAGTGAAAAAGTTTTTGCCCCTAGAGGAGGATTATGAGACATAGAACAATTTAGTGTAATATAGAAATGACAGCCAAAGATTTGCACAGTGGTAGCACAGTGGAGGGGCATCTAACTTAAGAGGGTCAAACCTCCTAGAGGAGGTAAGTTGTTAACTAAGTGAAAATGGGGATATTGGCTTTATATGTTCCTCATGATCACTTTTTCCTCCACTTTCTAAAGGCATGGAAAAGAACAGACTGGTAGAGGATCCAAAGGACATAAAAGAGGAAATAAACAAGTAAGCACCCTTTTGAGATTATCTAGCTTCTGTTTGATACCTCTTGACTTTTCTGCTAAATTGCAAGAGATAAGATCAGGCATGGAAACTTGGGAGCTTTCATAGCTTCTCCTGGCATTTGATTTCGTTCCTCTGCTCTCCAGCAGTCTAGAAAGGGTTAGCCTGCCCAGGCTGTTCCCACAAGACTGCAAATTGTCATCCTTTTCACTGAGTGAGGCCATAAGATGGATATACCAGGTACTGTGTCCTGAAGACCTTTTTGTAGTATAATACGTGCTATTTGAAGCCATAAAGGAGCCAGAGTGAAGTTAATAGTGGGATTGCCTGCAACATGCCTGATCTTCTGAGGGGCTACCAGAGATGCTTAGAAAATTGGACTTTGGCTTTTGCTGAATATGGGAAGGGAGAAGGTGTTATCATTCTGCCTAATTTTAATGGCTCAGAATGGTCTTAACCTTTCTTCTAATCTACACCTTGAATTATATCATAGTCCCCACTGCTCTTCATTACACATGGCCCTCTCTGCCAAATAATGAAGGCCTATTCTTATAGTGATCCAAAGTCATGTATTGGACTCAGACTGCTGGGCTCCTCATAGTATAGCAACCACCCTTTCTTGGGTGCCTGCTTTCTACCAAGCCCTCTACTAAACACTTTACACGCAGTCGCTAATTTTCACAAGGGTCACTGATTAGACCATACTGCAAGGCGACTTCCTCATCAGTTCTCAATCTCAAATCAGCTCTCCTGTATATAGCCAGGCCTCAGTGCATCCATGTTAACCCCCATTGTCAAATATTTTCTCAAAGAATACAGATTTGCTTTAATGTTATTTTCAACCAAAAATGGCTCAACTGGAATGCTAAGTCCTCCACACAAAGCATTTTGTAATGCACCCAAAGTCAGAGAGCAATGATTTTGGAATTTTTTCCCAAAGCTTCTCAGCTTTTTCCAGAAGCTGTTCAGTAAGGTAAAAGGTATTGCACCTAGAAGGAAAACTGGTCACTCAGATAGACTCCCATAAGGTAATACAACCTTGATGAATTCACCATGATTCAGGGTATGATCATTAAGCATACAGTCTGAAAAACCTCATCTTTTTGATACAATAAGAGTGGATCCATCTTTCAGTGGTTGACTTACATTAACCAAGATCACAGAAGTAGCTATGTGGATATGGCTAAAAGAGTTGGGGGTGGGGACAAGAAGGGAGAGCGTGACAGATAAAGTACTGACTTATGGTGAGAAGAAATAATTACCGTGATATATTATGCACTTACTCTACTTCAATCACTCTTATAAGTACGTGTGAGGTATTTATTATTCTTCATTTTAAACAAGAGGAAACTGAGGCTCAGAGGGATGAAGCATCTTGCCCAAAATTATCCATCAGGTCAGTATTAGAGTTGGCATTTCAGCCTGAGCTGACTGAATCCAAAGCCCTGTGCCGTGCTGATTCCAATACAGTATAACAACTCTAATTGTTAGAAAGAAGATTCAGACCTATGTCCAATTGACTTTAGTGACTGTGTTCTTAACCATGTCTACCAGACCTTTCTTTCTCCAAGTGCAAACTGCATGGGGGGCCACAGTATCAGACGTTTACTTGGGGACATGGAATCGGAACAATAATAGCTGGCATTTACTGAGTTCTTATAGTGTGCCAGGCACAACGTGTTCTGAGTGCTTTATGAAGAATTAATTGAATCCTTATAGGAACCTATGAAATAGATACTATTATTCTCTATTTCACAGATAAGGAAACGGAGGGAAAAGAAGAGATGGTAGATGATCCTAAGATTCTCTTGGCTAAGATTGCTGGGGGCACCGTTATCTACTCTAGAGGTAGCCTGGCCAACTAAATTTACACTCTGACTTTGTTTTTAGCTAAGGCATCATCCCTGGGCAGCTCTGTCTTGCTGACTCTCCTTTTTCTGTTCAGTCACCCTTTCTTCAGAGTATGAGATATTTCGTTGTTCCATTATGTTAAATCTTTTTACATTATAGTCATGTCTTCTTTAGAGTATTCCTAGGCCGCTGGAGTTCTGTGTGTTTTCAGATTCATAAGTCACTTATTTGTAATGTTTTGCTTTCTTTTTCGGCTCCTTCAGGTGGCCAATTCTATCCATTGTGTCAATTTTTACTAGTTTCATCTTATTTCTAGGTTCTTCAGCAACAGTTCACAGTAGCCTCTATGTTGTACAGGCTTTGGGGCCAAATGATCTAGCTTTGACTCTGTCTCTGCTCCTTACCAGTTCTATGACCTTCAACAAGTTACTTAACTGCTCTATGCCTTGGTTTTCTCATATATCGATTAGAGAAATTGGTATCTACCTCACAGAGTTGTTATGAGTATTAAATGAGATGATATATGTAAAGTGTTTAGCACAGAGCCTGGAACATAGGAGGTGCTCAATAAAAATTAGTTAGAAATTAGTTATAATTTATAATTAACCACAGATTCAACAGGAAGTATATTTCCATCATGCATTATATCTAAATGGAAAGAAGAATGTCTTTGGAGTCAAACAGACTTGAATGCAAGTCTAGGTATGTCAGTGGCCTGGGGCACATCATTTTACTTTTTTGAGCCTCGTTAGTCTTATCTGTAAAATAAACAACAGGGTGCCTGGCATGCCCAACCACTTAGTAATCAAGCTGTTAATATTCCTAATAACATTCATTGAGAGCCAGCACTGCACTGCAAGGTAATGCAGTTCATATCATTAGCATTTCAATAGCAGTCACATTCCTGGAATTAAAAGAAAAACAGGTGATGTTTTTAATTATGAAATATTGTGTTGAATATTGCACATAGATCTTATGGTTTGTTTTCCTTTCCTTTCCTTTACTAATCTGTTGTCAGCTATGGATGGCATTGCGTGGCAGTTAAGGGAATTGACTTTAGAGGCTGACCAACTTGGAGTGGAATCCTGGTCCCACTTCTTTCTATTTGGGTGTCCTTAAGCAAGTTACTTTAATCTTTTGAGCCTCGGCTTCCTCGTCTGTAAACAGGGCATCATAATAGCTACCATTTAGGGTCCCTATTAGTATTAGAAAAATATGCTGTAAATGAGTGTCATGATGAAGACTCAGAAAAACAAAGCTTTGTAAATGGTAGCTGTGTTATTGTGGTGTTGTCATTGCCATTGGATTTTGGTCAGATTCATCTGTTGTCACCCTAAGTTCTCAGGACAGTATCAGAGCGTACTAGGTGTTAACAAGCTTTGGGCTTTCTGATATCTTTGAAGAACTGAAACAGCTTCTGCAAGCTAGTTTATGAAGATGCTTGGGAAAGATCAAGCCATTTAAGATTACCATTTCTACTGAATATCTCTGTTTTTGATACAGGGCACTTCAGATGGAGTTTCTAAATCCCTGGAGCTTCATCAAAGTCGGTCCCGCTCACAGGTAAATGGAAACAATGTCACATTGATCAAAGAAGAAAAGAGTGATCATCATTTTTCAGCTCCATCACAGTGTGCCTTATCCAGAGACAGCAGCATGTGTAATAATGGTAACCGCTACTTCCCCATGAAGAATGTGGGGAAGAGTCGCTTTCGAGAGCAAAAACTGGGAACTATGGCACAACAAAAAGAGGAATAACAAGCTGCAGATGGTTTTACAAGATCAGGAAGAGGGGAAAACATATACTTTTCTGATTTTAGGCCCAAGTTAGAGGAGGACATAAATGCTTACCCTAGATTTATCCAGGATTTTGTTGGGATGTCCTATTGTATCCATCTTTTCCCCTTCCCTGTCTTTTTCTGGCCTCCAGACTTATTGGTCTGCTTCTGGGGAAGCTCTGTTTAAAGATGAATGGTAATAGGAGTAGCTCCTATTGTCAAATGAATATAGAGTGCCAGTATTCTCTTTACGTTCCCTGGGAGCCTCGTAAGGTGGTGACTGTCAGAAATTGGGTGTCATCATATAAGCTTTGTTTTTCTGAGTCTTCATCATGATACTCATTTACAAAGCCTGGGGCGGGGGTTGGGGGGTGGTGACATCTGCCTATGGCTTCCTAACTTGCTCTTTGCTCTATGGAGTAGTAGGGGCTTTGTATATAATCAGTATTCATCTCCTTCCCACTCTCTCCACTTACCTACCCTAGGATTTTGTTCCACTGCCTCTTGCTCTGGCCTGACAATCAGATAGGTAGATGTTTTCAGGGAAGTGAGGTAGTATTGGTTATTTTATTTTATTTTATTTTTTATTTTATTTTATACACTTAAACTACCAATGGCCTTTGTACTGGGGGATTCAAGGGAGTCAGAAAAGTACTGGGCAGATTTTTCCTGCCTCTGAACTAATGTATTGTTTGTAAAATAGAAGATGTGATGCAGTTCCCCACTCCCTGCTGCCCACACCCTGAAAGGATGGGAGTCAATGTAATGAAACTGAGTATGAAAGGGAACTCAAAATACTGGTGTATGTGTGTGTGTGTTCACGCGCGTATGTTTGTGTATGGGTGTGTGGGTGGATGTATATATGAATGAGTGTATCTATATGCGTACACATACCCTTTATATAAAGAGACAGATCTATTTATCTATACATATTTTATATATATAAATATGTGTATATGTGTGTATATATCTATGTATCTACATATATAGATATATGCATACATACATACATACATACCCAGTGATGTCCCAGAGGATTTACTGAATTTCCCAGAAATGCTTCTATAGCAATGGAGTGGTGGGTTTCAAAAGACCACACTTTAAAATCCTTACTAAGTCAGAGCCCATCGCAATTATGAGAAGATGGGCTTCTCTAAAGCAGACAAAAAGTACTTTCCAGAGATTGCCTGTTCAGAACAACATACAGTTGGGTTGTCACCAGCTTAATCTTGAACAGAGCCCTCACATCCCATATGATGAAACAGGAGGTTGGAATGGGATTGGGAAGATTTGGGTATTTCCTTATGAAGGAGCAGCCTCGATTGGAGAAAGGGGATGGAAAGTGATTACCAGGGCTTGCATCCAATTTGGAGGAAATCTGATCTGGAACTCCATGATCAAACTGGCCTCAGGCTAGAATTGATTGCCATGAGTCCCTGAAGGACAGAAGACAAGCATTGGAAAGACAGGTAGGGAAGTGTGAGGAAATTGTCAATCTGATTTTACATGCCTAGATTGTTTCATTTGTTCATTGACATTTTGACTACTGAATCTTTTCATTTGCTTTGCAAGGAAGACTTTAGAGGACTCTGGTCTGGGCCATTAAGGGGTATTCTGTGAAAGATTCCCAGCCCCCAGTGAGGCCGGGATCTACCCAGGACAAAGAGGCTATTCCTCCTTGCCAGAGATACTCTTGAGACAACCTTGCATTTCCAGTTTCCCTCCTCAGCAGTCTAAGTATGAGGGATGGGAACATGGCTTGTAACAGATTAGCATTGTGTCTTCATTCAGGAATTGAGGCTTTCAGTTCCTTTTGGGCTTTGTGATATTCTTGCCCAAGGAGTACCATTTCTACAGGAATACAACTGACTAGACTTCTAGCAGGGTTCTCTCTCTTTTTGAAAAACCCCATGCACTTTAACCCACTGCAGGTCCTTGCTGATTTTTTTCCCAGACAACCACATGGCTGTTTGCTCACTGCCCACTTACAATGAGTATATAATAGGAGATTGAAAACATTCTCTCAGACTATTCAATCCTAGTCTAGCCCAGTTTAAGAGAACCCACAATTTGCAGGGATGGAGGCCTAGAATGCCTCTCCCCCTGCCCAGACACTTCTTACATAAACCAAAGCAGGATGACAAGAATGCACACCTAGCCAGATATAACCAGGTACAAAATGTACAAAAACCTCCTCTTTGGAATCGGCTCCCCTAATTTGATCCTCCCTCTTCTCTTGGACCTTCCCAACCTTTCACAACATATTGAAGGTTAGGATTTCTATATCCAGCAAGAGCGGGATTTAGTAATTAACTTAGATGGCTTGGAAATTTCTTTCTGGAGCCGCAGGGGGAGGAATCCTTAGGAGCTCGAAAAATAACCAGAGTCACTGAGCTATATTAAATTAAATCTATCTAGATCTCCATTTTCTAATAGGAAGTACTTGGAGTTATATGGAAAGGTATTTTCTTCAGTTGCTATTTCTCTGCATCTTGAATCTATTTGATACAATCAAATGACAGTATTGTTAACTCTCACAGCATTAAGATTTCTTATTTTGTAGGCATTCACTGTGAGAAGTACAACTGCTGCTTTGACAGGGAAGATTCCAGTTTGCCAAAAGGCTTGCTTTTCTCCCTCCCACAAACTTCCACTTTCTCCTAGCCTGGCCCAGGGTGAAACAAGTGGCTCACTTCCAACCTTGGTTTTTATATGGATTCAGCATTTGGGTTTGGAAGTTTACAAGAAAGAACTATAAAGGGCCATATTCCTATATTTCAAGTTGTCTGCCAAACTACACAATTCAGAAGCCAGAAAAACTAAGATTTATTACTGAAAGATGAACTTTTTCTAATTGGAGACCAAATTGGAGAAGGCAGATCTGAACTTTCCTGTGAGTATCACTTGAAGAGACTATCATCCACCACATGAGGTTCCATTTCTGATTCTGATATGGCCTCTCTTGAAAAAAGTCATATAGGAACCCTCAAAAATGACCACAAGCAAAAGCCCCCTGGTTGTATATAGCCACTGATCCCCAAGGACTTGTAGTTGTTGATTTCTGCTGCTGTGCCTTGGGGTCAGCCTATAACTGCCACCCATATTCAGTGACCAGTCTGGTCTGGACCAGGTCTAGCAAACTTCTGCTTATTTGCATCAGTTTTCATTCTGAGCCAGTAGGACTTTGGGTAAACTATAAAGCCCAAGAAATGGCACTTGTTTTAGCTAGTGACATTTGATTTTTATTTCCATCTTAAGTTTCTGGCATTGTTGGCCAAGTCACATTTTCTTTTTTTTGGTCACTGAGAAAAACAGCCAGACAAGGCATTAGGATGGATGGTTAAGTTTGGGGTAGGGGGAGGAATGCTCATGTAGAGTAGAAAGAATGTGGAAGTTACTGTTTGGTTATAGTGATCCAGTCCATTGGAACTATAGAGGCTCCTATGGACATGTCAATGCTACCCTTTCAGCCTCTAAGACTCTCCCCCACCTTTGAAATGACAATACAAGTAGACCACAGTTTAAAGTAGTTAGTATAATTCTACTAAGGTTTAATCATTATACTTGTTTACTTCCTGGTGCATATTTCCTAAATATGCTTGGGGGTCGGGGGTGGGAGGGGGGTAAGTTTTCACTGTTCCATTGTGTGTCACCCTATATTTTTCTCCCTCTCGTGACTTTGGCATCTTCTTTTATTTAACTTTCCATTTTCTTTTCCTTTGGCTTACTGCAGTAGTCTGCTGGTACAAATAGAGCTTGGTGTACCTATTCCCCTGTTACTGCTAATTATCTTCAGTATTGCCAGAGGTTATTTTGATGTTCTAAGAAGATAACTTCATTTTTTACAAAATCATCTTTTCCAAGTTAAAAACAAAGTAAAATCATCCCTGTGCTAGGGTGCCCATTTCAGCTTTTGACATTGCCCTTATACTTTAATAGATGGTCTTTTTGTCCGTGTTGGTAGTAACTAATGACTAGTAAATTTTCATGTAAATGAAGCAAGTTAAATATTTCAGATTTTATTAATCTCTCATAACCCTGCCAAATCTGATGACTTCATTTTAGTTACTTCCCAAAAGATACTTCCCCTCCCACCTTTTATTTTTTTCTGTTCTATTTTTAGAATAACATACTAGGTAAAGAAACTTTAACTGCAAGGAGTCAATGATTTTTTTGTGCTCCCTGACAAATGATGTTATTGACAAAAGTAAGAAATTCTTTCATTGTTTTTTTTCCTGTGTTAATATCTCTTCTGTGCTCTTGACAGTGTGTTTAGTGGATGGATAATATGTATTTCTCTTCCCCACTCCCAGATTCAAAATTCCCTGCCTTTTTGGCCCACCTCACCACAAAAGCTCCATAGTTTATTAATGTAAGTTTGAATGGATGCTTCTTAGGGGAAACTGCAGGAGGTAATGGAAGTGTTTCAGAAAAGAATGAAAAATGTCTCAGGAGTTGTTCTGTGATGGAAATTGGTCTGTTGTTCTGTTAATGCTGATGGAAAGAAACTTACAGTGCTTAATAAAAGTTTATTCTTTTAGTAAAAAAATCTGTGAAATAATTTTGAGTGTGTGAAGTTTCATTTCTTCTCTCATATCTGGATCTCTTTCTGCAAATGGAGGAT